TCTCTCTCTCTCTCTCTCTCTCTCTCTCTCTCTCTCTCTCTCTCTCTCTCTCTCTCTCTCTCTCTCTCTCTCTCTCTCTCTCTCTCTCTCTCTCTCTCTCTCTTTCTTTTTCTTCTTTTTTTTGGTAACTGGGACTGACCTGAGGAAAAATCAAAACAGGAGATTGAGCAGTTCGCTTTCATCTACGACCAATTTTCCAGGCATGTCAAAGTCAGGATGATTGAGGACTCGAAATACTTTTCGAATTGGATTTCAAGCAAAATCGTTGACCGGTACAAAATGGAGACTTGGAGCACAAAAAGTTCCCGAAAGATTGAAGTGGACAAACACACGATTCACTCCAAACGTCTCGTACGACTTGATTGGCGAAAGCCGGGAGGACCAACCCGAGAGGAGGAATTCTTTGTTGCTGAGCTGCCAGATACAATCGAGATGATTGTAGGTGTGGACATTTGAACTTCTGAGATGGTGTGCGTAAGCATTGCATATAGATGCAGCAAAAAGTTGAATTCCCAACAGAAATACCTCGAGGACGGGTAATTTTGTAGACAATGTACCATGCAGAAAAAGAATGACTTTATGACTTGTCGGTATTGTCTCATTCAACATTTTGAAGTCGCTGTAAGCAAGTGAGGGGGTTGCATTGGGGCTGAGGGCGAACCATTTGCGGGCTGTGTGCATATATTGCATTGATAATGGGCTCTGTGTCACCAAGAAGCGGGCTGTATCTTATACATGGTGGTTCTCATTCATTGGCTGGGTTGAAACGTTTTGCTGCCAAGACTCACTCCGACGCGTGTCTCGTTGACCTTAGGCTTTCTGATCACTTGTGCCTCCGGTAGGTATATATGCACCCAGGGGCTAGAAGCTACAAGAATACTGGTTTTGCTCTTATATGTGTCGCTGTACTCTTGAATATTCGATTTTCCCGCGCCTGTACCAACATACTATAACAGTCTTCACCATGTTCTCCAGGTTCGGCAAATCTTCAGAGAGCGTATCATCCCCTGATGTGCGACAAGAAGCAATTGCCACCGCGTATAACTCCGGATATAATTTTGCGAATGTGAGCCGCCTGTCTTTGTTCTTACAAAACGGATCGACCCAGAGAATAGAGGAAACAGACAGGCGGCGCCTTTCACAAGAAGAACAGACAATACTGGTGAGTCAAGGTAACAACGCCACGTAGAGTCACGCTGACAGGTTGATTTGACCGCGGATGAAATATTCCTCTTCAGAAGACATGATGGTCGTCTCAGTCCGTTCAAGTTTGGGCATTCCCAACAGATAGAAAACACAATATCTCCGGCGGTGGCAATTCGTTTAAAGCTTGATGCAACCGTCAACTCCATACATGAGCTGTATTGGTATGCAACTCTCACGATCTCGCGCACCTGGCCCAATTCATTGATGATGTTGTAGGTTTAGATCCGAACGTGTAGAGCTTGCAAGATTTCTGGTGAAGAACATGGAGGACCAAGTTTGTCTAGGAATTGACTGGCTCCGCTCAACTTCTTTGTGGACTGGAAGCTCTACACTGGTTGGGTCGTCACAGGGTAGTCTTTCACCTTTTGATATTCATGGCGACGAACGGGAAAACAGCTCAATGAATAGTTCCCGAAGACCTTCCCCATCTTCGCCCGATCATCCGACCTATTTACCATCGCCAAAGACCCCATCCAGAGGAAGGGTTCGCCGTGATCCAGTATCACGCCAACCATCCAATGATAACCATCCAGCCATCATGCTCCCTCGACCTTTGCCTCCTGCTAACAACCCCTCTCGTCCGAGGAATGGTATCGAACCGAGGCGTCCCAGCCAGAATTTACCGGTACCAGGGGCTTATCGCCAAAGACACAGGTCCTACGAAGGATATTCACCATCTTATTACGATGATGGAAATATTATTGAGCCACTTCCACCCAGGTCAAGATCAGTAGATGATCCAGATCGAGGTCGGCGCTATGATTCACCCAGCACCAGAAATAATGGGCGGAGTGCAAGTCGCAGACGAGGGAGAAGCGGGAATGAAAGTCGAAGTGGGAATAGAAGCCGAAGTGGGGATAGAAGCCGAAGTGGGAATGGAAGTCGAAGTGGGAATGGAAGTCGAAGCGGGAATAGAAGTCGAGGTGGGGACAGAAGTCGAGGTTGGGATAGAAGTCGAGATCGTACGGACTATATTGCCAGAGACCAAAGGCGTCGGAGCAATAAGAGCAATGGACGTGAGCCAAAAGAAAAGCGGTTGGGTTCGATTGTGCAAGTTGTCGGAGCTGTCATACGATTTTTATTTGACTAGCGACAGGACGGATAGCTGAACAACATACTTTATGAGGTTTGTCAGAAGATATGGTACACTAGATTAATGGATTCACAGGTCGCTAGTATAATCATGTTCATCACTCGCACGATATACTTCTGCTCTCATACCCACCTATGGAAATTGTAGCATAATGCTTTACGGGCTAGCCAGGGGCTTACAATACTAAATATGGCTGCAACTCACTGCCTGGATAGCAATTCATGAAGGAACAGAAAAGTCACAGTTACAAATTATTGAACCAGGCTCATGTGTGCTTATATTGCAATACAAATGCGCAAAAATGTGCAGCTCGAGCCAGCTCAGTGCGTCATCAATGGCAGGCAATTATACAATCCAGTGTCCCGAACCTTCAGATTCCAGGGCCATGTTCGTTCATGATACAAACCTGCGCCATAGATTGGTCCGGGACGTTTTGCAACCATTGTGTTCCCCTCGGGCTGCAAGGCTTGTGCATATAGAGGTAATGCGAGGTAAGATCTAAAGCTACAAGATTTTGTCACAGCCAAGAGTACATATATGTATGTATGTATGGACTATGATGGTTTGCAGCACGTCCCTAATATGAAAAAAGGAAACCCTTCGGGAGCCAATCTCGCACTATCCTGGAAGGTTTCCCGACATTCTGCATACGGTCACGGCTTGTGTAACCGCCCGATAGAAGCTTTATATAATAAGTCGCTACCTTGTACAGCGCATTTGATACAGTTGCAAATTTCTACAATATCCCACGAGGACTACCTGGTCTCGGAAATAATGCCAACAATAACGAGAGCAAAAAGCGCCAAGTTGCAACGCCGAGCCTCTAGCCCATCTGGCCCAGTCGAGTAGCCCCTCACTTCTTCGGTTCGCATCCGATCCGAACTATGCGAACTTCAGCCGACACTATAGTGCCCTTTGTATATAATTATTGAATTCCGCCAGGGACTTCTGTACTGGGAGCTCATGTGATTCGGTCCGGTTCCCTAGAAACGACAACGATTGAGGCGATATCTCCACAGGTTGCCATTGTGTCGTCTCCATTTGCCGAATATCCTAACCGCGAACATCGTTGCAGCCTCCACTCCAAGAATCCGGGTCACTTTTGCCCATGGGGTAAGACCGGGGCCCCGCAAAGTTCAAGGTGGGCGCGCCGAAATTGACTTGACGATCAAAAGCATGGAACAGTGCCCGCATGATGATGGCATCGAATGAGAAAGCATGAGCTGGGGGAAATGGCCTCGGTTAGTCTTGTTGATGACCCCACAGGCCTCAAAAGCCAAGAACAATACAGCAAGTATATATCTTGCAGGATATATCGCGCGAGGGTGAACACAAAGGCGGTATGATGCTTTTTATCCTGTTTGGTGTGCCGGTTGAGCAAGTGTATCGTCTTCCATGCCCTTGTCAGTAGAGCCAGTCGCCATGTCACCAGAAGTGTCCGTCTCTGCGATCATGGGGCTCTTGCTCCATGTGTCCATGTCTACAGCGGCCTCTGCGAATGTCACTTCCATTGCTGCGAGCGGTTGCCTTGCCTCCATGGCATCACCTACGTATAGCTCGTTTAGCTACGAACAAATGAGCACCAACCGCTATGCTACGCCTCTACCTACGCCACTCTCTTTGCCAACATACGCCCCGGGTTTCTCAGAGGCGTCTGCCCTGTTGCCTGCCAACGTGACATATACGACCTACAGTCTCGACAAGGCGGCAACTTCTGTCGACGATGGTCCGTACGGGCAGAGTGCGTACGTTGCCCTGTGGCAAAACCTCACGTACTCTAGCGATCCTCCGTTCACCACTACGGTTTCTCCCACTCCAGTGGCGTCTAGCGAGCTCATCTTTCCTCCACCGCTTGCTGCACGCCCAGTCAATGAGGACAAGTCGTTGAAGCTGCCCTGTGATTTCATCTGGGGAGTTGCCGCCAGTTCTTGGCAAATCGAAGGCGGATTGCAGGTCGAGGGCAGAGGCGTTGGCGTTCTGGATGGGATAGGAGCAGTGGGCACAACTGGGCAGGACGACGCCAATATTGCCGACATGAACTATTTCATGTACAAGCAGGACATTGCCCGCCTCGCAGCGTTGGGAGTTCCATACTACTCGTTCTCAATCGCATGGCCCCGTGTGATGCCCTTTGGCGTTGCGGGTTCTCCGGTCAACACACAGGCATTGGATCACTATGCCGACATAATTGATACGTGCTACGAGTACGGTATCATACCCGTGGCTACTCTGTTGCACGTGGATAGTCCTGTTGGCATCTTCGACGACCTTGATGCATTCCCCGAGCACTTTTTATACTATGCCAAGCAGATCATGACGCGATTTGGGGACCGAATCCCCATTTGGTTCACCATCAACGAGCCAAATATCGCGGTACCGTATGTCTATAGCGACTACAATGTCCTGGTTGCAGAAACAAAGGCACATGCGGCTGTTTACCATTGGTATAAGGAGGAGCTCAATGGAACTGCGCAAATCACTACAAAGTTTGCCAACAACCTTGCCGTTCCGCGCGATCCAAGCAACTCATCCGACGTCGAGGCATCGCTGAGGTATCAAGAGTTCATCTTGGGCATCATGGCGAATCCAATCTTCCTCGGCCAGCAAATTCCCCAGGTTGTCCTAGACACCCCCGGTCTGAATCTGACTGCGCTGACGGACGAGGAGATTGCGTACATTAATGGCACGGCCGACTTTTGGGCTTTTGATCCCTACGTTGCCCAATATGCGTGGGCTCCAGATGCCGGTATTGAAGCCTGTGCAGCAAACTCTTCGGATCCTCTGTGGCCGAGCTGTGTCGAAACTGGTACGTCTCAGCAGAATGGATGGCTCATGGGAGTGCCGTCCAATGCGTACCCAATGATAGCACCGCAATATGTGCGAGAGCAATATGGCTACATCTGGAACACGTACAAGCCGTCGGGCATCATGGTGACCGAGTTTGGGTTTCCCCAGCTGCGCGAGGAAGAGTCAGAATTGGCCGTCAAGCTCTTCGACTTTGACCGGTCCATGTACTATCAAAACTTCTTGACCGAGACCTTGCACGCCATCCACTCGGACAATGTCAATGTTATTGGAGCGCTCGCGTGGAGTTGGATCGACAATAATGAGTTTGGTGACTTTGCCAACGCCTATGGTATGCAGACTGTCAACCGAACTGATGGTCTGTTTACAAGACATTTCAAGAGAAGCTTTTTTGATTACGTGGACTTTTTCCACAACAACATAGCAAGCTAGATTATGAAGCATACAATCCGAGGTTCATAACCCAAGTCTAGCAGAGATACGGCGAGATGGTCTGCACAAATGGTACTTGGCTTGATCTAGGAGTACAGCGGAAAAAGGACATATGCATGTAAATGAGTAATGCTAACAGCGCTATGTCACCTTGGCTAGCAGCGCTATGCATCACCATATCCCGTTATCTACACCTGCATACAGCCCGCCGTAGATAGGAAAACAGTAAAAAATTATAAGGCTATTTCGAAGGAAACTAACTTATGCGTTGCATTGTGAGTAATTGGCTTGATTACCTACTAGGGATCTACTTTTTGAATAGGCCCGTATCGTTAAAAATAATAATAAATACAGCAGCTATTTACAGCAGCTATAACACTGCATAAGGGCTTAAGATACTACCTAGGTAAATAAAAATCAAATCTAAAGCTATTTCCAGTAACTAGAATTTGAAATATAAAATGTTGGCGGGCTGTATGCAGGCGCATATTACGGGATATAGTGGTACATAGCGCTGCTAGCCAAGGTGACATAGCGCTGCTAGCATCACTCATGTAAATAGTGTAATTAATATCCTGTTTCTACAAAAGTCTGACTTGTATAAATATTTTTCAGCTGTTATAGTTCAGTACTCAAAGCTCTTGGCCAATATGTACTATGTACTAAAGCACTAACCTTAGGTTAGTGGGGCTTTATGGTGCCACTGGTGCCTGTCACTGTGAGATGACGAGTGCGTCTGGGGCCTCTGTGAAACATTATGGGATTCATAGCTTCCATACAGTTCGCCTCATCCTTCCATCCTTCATCATCTTGCATTAGCAACGACTTTGCATCGATTAAATGTTTACTTTTCCATGATCAGATTCATGAGAACTTAATCATTCATCAAGATAAAAGACTTGCTCATCATTAACACACACACACACATACATGATGCCGTCTCTCCGTGAGCTGCTGCATCTATTGCCGCTCGCCACTCTCACCCTCGCGAAACCCCAACGCCAGCAGCCCCTACACGGCAGCGTCGACAAGCATGACGAGCCCGATGACACACCTCTCCCTGTCATCATCTGGCACGGGCTGGGCGACAACTTTGCCAACGAAGGCATCCAGTCCGTCGGAGACCTGATTGAGGAGATCCACGAGGGCACCCTGGTATACTACGTCAAGCTCGCCGACGACGCCACGGGCGACCAGTCGGCGACGTGGTGGGGCAACGTGACGGAGCAGGTCGACAAGGTGTGCGCCGACCTGGCGAGCCACCAGATCCTGAGCACGGCGCCGGCCGTCGACGCCGTCGGCTTCTCGCAGGGCGGACAGTTCCTGCGGGCCTATGTCGAGCGGTGCAACTTCCCGCCCGTGCGCAACCTCGTCACGTTTGGCTCGCAGCACAACGGCATCGTCGACTACCGCACCTGCGGCGCCACCGACTGGCTGTGCAAGGGCGCCATGGCCCTCTTGCACGGCAACACCTTTTCCCAGTACGTCCAGTCGCACCTGGTGCCCGCCCAGTACTTTCGCGACCCCGAGCAGCTCGACAAGTACCTCGAGCACTCCAACTTTTTGGCCGACATCAACAATGAGCGCGTGCTCAAGAACGAGACGTACGCCAAGAACATTGCCAACCTCGACAACTTTGTCATGTACATGTTTGAGGACGATACTGTCGTCGTGCCCAAGGAGACGGCCTGGTTCGAGGAGGTCAACGGCACCGAGCGCACCCCGCTGAGGGCGAGGAAGTTGTACGAGGAGGATTGGTTGGGTCTGAGGGCGCTTGATCGCAAGGGCGGACTCAAATTCCGAACGACCCCTGGTGAGCACATGCGCTTGTCTGACAAGGTCTTGGCCGAGTCGTTCAAGGAGTTTTTTGGACCATGGGGAAAGAAGTATTCGAAAGAGGCAGTGACTTTTAACGAGCTGTAATAATTGGGTTTTAATGGGTTTGTATCGCAAACACGACATTATTTTGGTTCAATGGGATTCAACAAGGAGTTCAAGGTTTACATAGATATCAAAGGAGCTAGGTTACATTGATTGAATTGATCTGATATCAGTCTATACCTGATGTTTTTATTTTCACCCGCCCAAAACGCCATGCAATGATCCCATTCTACGTGAGACGATACGACACGACACGGTACGCCGAACGCCTCGACACATGTGTGCAGCAAAAAAACCACTACTACATATCCCTTTAAACATCGACAGCCTTCTTGGCCGCAGCCTTCTGCTTCTTGAGCTTGGCCTTGCGCTCTGCAATCTCCTTGTCGAGGTGGGAGTCGTCGCTCTCGGGCTGGGCCTTTGCCTTGGTCTTCTTGGCCTTCTTGGTCGCCGGCGCCGTCTCCTCGGGCTGCGCGTCCAGAGACTTTCGCTTCTTGCCAACGTTGGGCTTCTCGGCCAGAGCCTTGGCCTCCTCGGCCTCCTTGGTCATGATGTCCTTTTGACCGTCCAGCCACAGCTCGTCCGCCAGGTACAGAGGCAGGGCGACCGTCTCGGAACCCTTGAGGTACATGGCGCGAACGTTCTTGTCCTTTTGCGGCACGTACTTCTCCACCAGGACCTCGGCGACAGCGTTTGCGTTGGCGGCAATCTTGTCGGCAGACCATCCGGCATAGCCCACGCGGACGGCAGTGTTGGTCGATGGCGACAGGTGCACGAGGGCAGAGCCGACGGCCTTTTCAATCTCGGCGGCGAGCTCGGCAGGAGTGCATGACTTGGGGGTATCGTCTCCCTTGACCTTCTTGACCTTCTTGCCATCCACCTTGGGCTTGTTTCTCGACTCGAGATTCACAGGGATGGGGCGCTTGGCCGTGTTCTTGTAAAAGGTCTTGCCCAGTACTTTGGGAAGTCGAGTAATGATGCGAGAATCTCCGAGGAAAATGTCGTGCTCGGCGTAGAGTTTCCTCTGCTCCTCGTACTGCTTGAACTTGGCCTGAAGCTTGCCAACGTCAATAACTCGAGTGACTCGCTTGCGCCATTCTTCCGGGAACTCTTCCGAGGCAACGAGGCTGCAAGAAATAAGGATCAGCAAGACGTCAAACATTATGCGCAAGCGAGCAAAGAGCAGCATACTTCTTGTAGTGGCGCTGGGGATCGGCGCTGATGAGGCAGACGCTCAGCTCGGGGTCGGTATTCAGAGGATGCGGCAGCACAATCTTGCCGGGCTTGAGGCGGCTGGAGTCGACAATGTGTCTCTTGGTGGTCAGGGTCAACCAGACGGGCTGCTCGTTCAAGGAAGTCTCGTCGTCCGAGTCGGCAGCCAAGAGGTTCTTTTTGTCGGCCTTTTCTGCCTTTTCCTTGGAGGCCTTCTTCATATGCGCCAGGAGCGCCTTGGACGCCTTCAACGTCTGGTCGGGATCAACCAGCTGCAGAGCAGCATCGGAAGACCGAAGCTTCATTTCCTTGGTGGGCGCCATTGTGCAAAGGGCGAAAAAAGTCGAGAACAATTGCTGGAAAATGTTGTTGGCAACTTTTTTTCCTCTAGCAAATTGCACCGCAGGCAAATCAATGGAAATGCTAAAGCGCTGGGAACTTTTGGAAATCGATAAACTTTTGGTACGTGGGGCTCGAAAATTTCCCAGAGTCCAATTAAGTTGCTTTGCGATAAGCTTATCAAAAAGCTGGCTGAAGCGCCTCGACTTTGGCAGTCAGTGTGTGTCTGCACCGCCCATTTTATGAGACAAACAGGGACTGGGTGGGCCACTTTCTAAACGCCACAGTTGACCACCAGCACGGATACTCATCAGTAACCCGACACCAGCAGAATGCAGCAGACAGCGGACAGTTTCGTCTCTGAGCAAAACCCCCCAGGCTGGCGGCCAACACTCTTGGATATAAAGCCAACCGCAGCCTCGGTAACTGATTTCTTCAACATGGCAAACGATGCCAATCACAATGACCGTTCAGGTCCTGTACCTGCGACCGGGTCGCAAAACGGAGATCACGCCAACGCCAATGGAACATCTCCCACCTACACAAATCCTCATCCCGGACGGGTATTTCTTAGCCGCCAGTATGTGGCCGAGGAATGGATCAATCGACAGCTTTTGCTAGTCTTTAGCGACTCTGGCAAGGAGGCGCGGGATCGCTTTGAAGGAGTCGATCTGATTGATTCTCTGGTCAATTTCTTGCAGCTGTGAGTTGACGCTTTCATCCGCCCCGTTTTTGGTCCAATACTGACTTGTGCCATCTAGTCCCATCAAGACATTTGATGCAGCCTGCACCTTCTTCCACAAGCTGCGACTCAAGCATGGAGAGAACCAGTTTAACACACAGGATGCCGCCATTGCCTGCCTCTTTGTTGCCTGCAAAGCCGAAGACACTCTCAAAAAGTCCCGGGAGATCCTCTGTGCTGCCTATAATCTTAAGATGACCAACGACCAACGATCCCCGGATGACAAGGTATGCTCTGCCCCTGTTGTTGACTCTTGGTCTCGCTTATATACTTACAAGCGTCAGCTCTTTGACAAGTCTGCTATGGTCATTCAAACTCTAGAGAGGTTGACCCTCGAGGCCATTGGTTTCGACTTTCGTTGCCGCTATCCCCAAAGCTACGTAATCAAGCTGCTCAAGCTCGTTCTGTCTTACGAGGAAGCACGTACCATTTATCCTGTTGCCCTTGACATGTCGATAGACATGTACAAGACATACATGCCTCTGAAGAACACAAATTTTGGCATGGCCTACGCCCTTGTCGAGCTGTCCTCGAGACTCACTGGCCAACATGTTGACAAGCTCAAGAATATTGATTATTCTCGGCACAAGGTTCCACGTATGCGAATCCGCGAGGGCATGTTGGATTTACTGGATCTCTACACCAAACATCACAAGCAGACCAAGCTCGGCTCTAGGTTTAGCCCCGACGCCTTTGTTCAAGTTAAGATCGATATCAACAAGGAAATCGAGGATTCTGGAGCTGGTGCACTTCCCCAGTGCCCCTTTCCTCTTCCTTCCAATGAAGATTTACATGCTACGCCGGTTCCGACGGACCCAAAGAGCGTGACCAACCGTTTTGTCTTCGACGTTGATGAGGCCCGCCGCGAACAAGTCACTGTACAACAGTTTTTGGAGGATGATTACGAAGAAGTCGAGATTGAGTATGAGGAGGAGATTCCAGAGCCAATCCCTGCTCGGCCGCGCGATCGTCAAAACCACGGCCATGGCGGCAACCGAGGTGGCCACAGTCATAGGGGACATCGTGGCAACGATGGTTGGGGTCGCGGCGGCGGTCGGCATGGGAATGATCGCCGCCGCCGTGGTGGAGGCGGAGGTGGCTGGTAGACATGTCTCTTTGCCATGCATAATTTTGGCGTTTGGAAAGGAAAGGATTGATACCCCCATGTGCTTAGGAATTACTGATCATTGTCATTGCATTCATTTCTTGTATTGATGCCGGATTCAATACAACGCCGTTGCCAGACAAAAAGGTCAAAAACAGACTGGACTTGAGCGGAGCCGTGTGCACATATTGCAACTTTCAGATCTCTGGAGATGATTTTAAAAGGAAACATTTATCATGCTCGTCTGCTGCTAAACCCTGCTGCAGATTACTCGGTAAACCTCAAACAAGAGGAGACTTGCGTCAACTTTTATTATGACGCATGAATCTTGATATAGAATTACTTCCGATAGAAGATGTTCGTCCTCGGCAAACACTAGCAAACCTGGTTTCGACAAGGGATACTCAAAATCCCTCCAATCGGCACAATTCCTGATCACGGAGCCGGCACACCGTATTCCTATTTCCGGATTCGCCTCTTCCGGGAAATCTGCGACCCTTGGACATGAGAAATGGTCAAAAAGTTGACGGCTTTGCTGTTTATCTACATGTTAGCCCTTGACCTCTGCATTGCTTACTCTCGAGCCAAATCAGGTCCAAAAATGACAGCTCAAACCCGGTTCTTGGCTCTCGCGGCCCTTGCCGCCACGGCTGCCGGTCAAACAGCCATTACGGTCGATACAGCAACCACATACCAAACGATTGATGGTTTCGGATTCTCTCAAGCATTTGGTCGAGCTTCAGAGTTCGAAGCTGCCAATGCCACCACTGCCAAAACGGCTTTGGATTATCTGTTCAGCACGACTACTGGTGCAGGATTCTCCATCATTCGCAATCGGATAGGCTCCAACGGGACTGGGGACAGTATTGAGCCGAACAGTCCGGGCTCCAATACCAGTACTCCAACCTATGTGTGGGATGGCGACGACAGTGGCCAGGTCTGGTTCACCAAGCAGGCTGTCAGTTATGGCGTAAAGACTATATATGCCGATGCGTGGAGCGCGCCGGGCTTTATGAAAACGAGCGGAAGCGATCAGTTACCGGGGTAAGATTCTCTTTGATGCCAAACAACTGCAAGACTCGGTCCTTACTTGAACCCAGATATCTATGTGGTACAACTGGCCACACGTGCAGCACGGGAGACTGGAAGCAAGCATACGCCGACTTTCTTGTTCAATATGTCGAGTATTATGCGCAGGAAGGGCTTACTATAACCCACCTCGGATTTTTAAACGAGCCAGATTATCAAGTCTCGTACTCGCAGATGCAGATTAGCAGCAACGGCCAAGAAGCCATAGACTTTATCCCGATCCTCCATGACGCAGTGGAAGACGCTGGTCTGGATGTTGCCATTGCCTGCTGCGACCCCGTCGGCTGGAACACTCAGGCTACGTATACCACAGCATTGGTCAATGCTGGTTCGACGGATTACCTCGGCGTCATCACCTCGCACAGTTACAGCTATGATGCCACGACGCCGCTGAACCAGACGGCCCTGCCAAAGTGGAACACGGAAGGCGGCCCGTCATCTGCCTTTACGACTACATGGTACAGTTCCGGGGCGGACAATGAGGGTTTCACATGGGCCAACAAGCTCGCCGTCGCCATGGTGAATGCGCAGCTATCCGCGTACCTGTTCTGGGAGGGCTTCGAGATTGAGCAGAGCCAGTCGGGCGCCCACCTCGTCGACGCCATTGACGGCGTCAACCCGACGCCGAGCGGCATCTTTTGGGCCTTTGCCATGTGGTCGCGGTACATTCGTCCAGGCGCCACGATGCTGGGCACGTCGGGGTCCATTACGAGCGTCATTACGGGGGCTTTTCAAAACACAGACGGCAGTGTGGTGCTCGTCTTTACCAATAGTGGGACAAGCAGCCAGTCAGCCGCCGTGTCCTTTAGTGGCTTTACGGCAGCCTCTGCTGATGCTTGGCTGACTGACCAGAGCAACACCTTTGCATCTACTGATGCGGCTCTCGCAGACGGCGTAGTCACTGTATCCGTACCAGCAAAGGGCGTCGTCACAGTCAAATTGACCTCGTAAACAAAATGTGCAAGTTGCAAATCGGGGCAGCACAAAACCAAATAGAGGACTTCCCTCTTGAATAGAATTACGGAGTATTTTGGTAGCATACGGCTATTTGCATAGCCTTGCCAACAGTGTAAACATTTTTGTATCTCTACAGTATTGTTTCCGTATTGCACAGCGTTGAGAGTTGATCTTCAAGTCAAACACTTTTCGCCTCATGTGCTTCTCTCAAGCAGGCCATTCTGCGTCAGCCAAGCTTCACATAACGAGGGCCACTTTGAGACCGGCAATCCCTCCGTGTCAATGCCAAATCCGTGCGGTGCATCGGCAAATACATGCAATTCAACGGAACCCCCAACCTTTCCAATCCCCTCTGCTAACCGGTAGGCATTCACCACTGGAACGACGGGATCATTCCCGGAATACACGATAAAAGTAGGCGGCACCGGCAGGCTCACCTGTACGTCTGGCTGGACGACATTGTACAAGGTCTGCTTCTCCGGCGGTTCCAAAGGCGCCTTGTTTGGCACAATGGTACGACCAACGGCATTTGTAGAAATGGGACCATAGCCAATAATGGCAAACTTGAGCCGCGGCGGCGGAGAGGGCGAGGAGGACGTCCACATGCTGGGGTACTCGGCCAGCAGCGCCGCCCCGAGATGGCCTCCAGACGACAGACCGCACACCCCCAGCCCGTTTGGCACCTTGGCCCTCTCCTCCATCAGGCCGAGCGCGCGCCGGGCATCGTCGAGCGGTGCCTGAGGACCCGATTCGGCCGTGGGGAACCGGTGCACCAGCACAAAGGCGTGGAACCCAAGTCCCGCCAGCCACCGCGCCACGGCGATTCCCTCTCTGCCCACCATGAGCTGCGTGTAGCCGCCCCCTCCCAGAATGAGCACTCCACGACCATTATCACTCTGGGTCGTCGTCGTCGTGGCTGGGCGGAAGCCAAAGAGCCAGGGCCGCTGCACCTTGGTCACCACGGCAGTGTCGAGGGTGCCGTCCGGCTGCTCGACCTGAAAAGCTCCTTCTAATGGCTCATTGTCGTAAAGAGGCCATTTATAATCTGGAGATGACTCGAGCACGGCGGTCATTTTGGATCCATTCACCCGCGTCAGAATGGTGAGCAATAAAGTAACTCTGGGTTCTCCTTGTTTGGTGGACTATTCCTGTTTCTTTGTATACCTTTATTATAATCTATACACCACGTACCAAGCAAGTGTGAAAGTGGATCAACATTGCATGATTCTCTACTCAATCAGCAACACAATGATATACCGAGACAATTTGCTATTACACCGAACTGTTCATCACTTAGTTAGGGACCAAGCATATTTTCCACCAATCAAAAACGTGTATTAGGCTTGCACTATCCATTCGATAATCGACGAGAAACCATGGTATTGTTGATAAAGTATACTTGCTCAACTTGGTCGTGAGCCTTTCTTACTAGCCCGTAACATCAAACTTGCTTACCATTCAAAACATGTAGGAAACAATTGACCTCTACACTACAAACCTACCTGAGCATTTCAGTCTTGAGCAGCCAAGCGGTTCTCTGGTCCGTAATGACGCCGTTGAACTGTTCAATCTCTGCCCGGCACGCCTCAATCCTCTTCCTGGCATCACTATTCACCAGGTCAATATGCTCGCAGGCGGCAGCCTGAACAAGACGGTTATCATCAAGAGCAGTAAAGTACCTCCAATAACTCTCGAGACCACCGAGCTCGTCCTCGAGGGCCCACAGCCCATCGCGGTGCAACCGGCCCAGACGTCCGTCGCGCATGTAATCGCGCGAGTAGGCGGCCTGGAACTCGACGAGCCGGCGCAGCCAGGCCGAGTACTCGCCCCCGAACCGCGCGGCGAGCCACGCCGACTCCTGGTCGTCGGCCAGGGCCACGACGCTGCGCAGCAGCTCGATACGCTGGCGATCCGGGACGGCGCGCGGGTTGGCGGAAAAGTCCTTGACTCGTCGCTGCAGGGACCATTCGCTGAACCATCTGCCGAGTTTGCTGCTACCAGGCGGCGCTGCCGTCTCAGTTCTGCTCTCGATTCTAGACATGACTTTGATGCTTAGAGTATAGATGGGATTTGAAGACAGCCAATGGGTGATCCCTTGGGCGACAGATCTTGTGATAGATGAAATGCTAATGCGTTTTACAATAATTCCAGGGTGAGAGCTAGAAGAATGTGTATTTATGAGTCTCATGATACAATGGCAGGGAATAATCTCTTTGTAGTCAGCAGCGGCATTGTCCAACAAAGTCTCATTCACCTGAAAAGGGATAAACAATCCTTTATTCAGGTAATCCTAGGATCTAATTAGTGTTCTAGAATATATCAGGAGGTCAAATGACGTAAGGTGCGCCTTGGCTTCAGGATGGTGTTTTGCAGTGTGTGTGAATTATATGCTATAGAAAACAAAACACATCTAAATTTGAAATGACATCTTTCTCTACGACTTGTAGGCCTTGACCACGGGCACCTCCTCGTCCAAAGGCAGGATATCGGGCAATGGTCCAACGGGAGCTATCGAGAAGGGGTTGATTTGCGTGTGACTCTTGGTGTAGTGGTTCTTGATGTGCAAAAAGTTGGTCGTCTTCTTAAAGGCTGGGTCGTTCCAGTAAAGGTTACGCATCCACTTGTGAATGGCAGGATAACCGGAGCGAATGTCCCGGATGTTGCACTTGAAGTGCTGGACATAGACGGGATCAAAACGGATGAGGGTACAGAATCTAAAAAAGTGTTCAATGTCAGCTTAGGAAACTTAAGTGTAAGGCCTGCCTTGATCTGTGAGGCAGTAAGAAAAAACTCACACTCGAATATCCGTTTCAGTCAGAACATCTCCAAAGTAGTACGGTCCCTTGCCATTCTTGAGGTGTTCCTCGACGCGGTCAAGAGCCTCAAACAGCTTGACGACATTCTTCTCGTACGCCTCCTGCGTCGTGGCAAATCCGCTCTTGTAGACGCCATTGTTGATCTGGTCATAGGTCCACTCGCCGACCTCGTCAATGTCCTTGCGCAGGGCCTCGGGGTACAGGTCAATGGCGGCCTTGTCGGCGGGGAGCTGGTCGTTGAAGACGGTGCCCAGCATGCGCAGGATCTCGGACGACTCGTTGTTGACAATGGTCTGCTGCACCTTGTCGTACAGCACGGGCACGGTGAAGCGGCCCGAGTAGTCTGGGTCGGCGGCAAAGTAAATCTCCCGTAGGTGCGTGATCTTTTCATGGCCGGGAACCGGGTCCGGGATTACGTTTTCACCCTCGGCGTCCGTGTCTTCCGAAGTTGGGAAACGCCAGCCTTTATACGCACCAATGAATCATCAGTCATGTGTCCTAGATGATGTTTTGACGTCAAAGATTATAACTCACCTTTCTCACCCATGTGCCAATGCACAACCGAAAAACTGATAAAGTCCTCAAGACCTTTGATGCTGCGAGCAATCAGGGCCCGGCACGCCCACGGGCAAGCATAGCTGACATAGAGGTGGTAGCGGCCCTTTTCGGGAGGGAACTTTGCGCCCGCCTCCGTGGAGATGAAATCGCGGAACGAGCTGGCCGGGCGCTTGAACTCTCCGCTCTTGTCGCCGGGCTTGACCCAGTCGGTGATTTTGGTACCTGATGAGGACTATATAATGTTTGGTCAGACGATGGGGATGTTGTCAACGCAAAGAGGGAAAGAATAAATCCAAGACATTGAGCGTCACATGATTACTCACCATTCTGACTGGTACAACTAAATGCTTTGGCGTAGTTGCTCCAACTCCTCCTGCTGCAAAGTGTGACTTTGAAAGCAACGCTGGTTGAGACTTGATGGCTTTCGAGGTAGTGAAATTCTTGGCCTGCGGTATACTTGCGAATAACCTTATTGCGCTTTGTCTATATAACTCGACACGACTGTAAGAAGTGACAATGCGAGCAGCGGCTCTATGGTTCATGAGCTCAGCTGGACCTTTTTTGGAAAATGAGGGGTACGAATGCTACTATCGGAAGGACCCTGACAATCGCTTATATATGTACCTAGACAAGACAAGGACGAATGATCGGCCGATAGTCAGCATTGACAATGTCTTACGAGACTTGAATCAACTCCAGTAAATGTGAATGACTAAGGCTGATGTAGGTGCGATGAAAGCTTCATGTCAGTCAGTTCCTGTCGATCTCTAATCGTGACGTAAAACGACCTAGATTAGACAGTATGGATCCTCCCCACCGGCTGTCGCAGTTATGTAAGTCATCACTAATCCAACAGCTTCCATCAGTCAGACGGCTACTATTTCGTATTGGGCGGCACTAGCCCGCAAAATTGCCTGCGCTAGATGGAGCATAGTTTCGGCTCAGCCCGAGAGGATTCCAGAGCCCCCAAGACTGAACTGATGCCATAATTATTAGAGGATATATCGTCTCTTCTGGTGGGTTGGTTTAAGCAGTCAAGGAAAAAGAAGTTGATGGAGACTTCAGGTGTTATGTTGTGAGAAGAGTCTATTTTGTGACGACTTAACGGCGTCTTGATTGCTTGGTCGCGATCCCGTATCAATGTTACGCCCTGGTTGACAAAGCTAAATACAAACTGGCCCAAACTACGGTCTACTCCTTGAGGCCCCCTTCATCTATGGGCGTCGTAACAAGAATCAAACAATTCCAAGTGACCATCTACCTAATTCTGCACTTGATGTAGGGAACCTCGACGTCTTCGTCATCCAAATCCTCAGCCACCATTTCAAAGATGACCTCCTTTTGGTGCTCGGGAATTGGCTTCTTTGAGACAAACTCAACCAACTTGCTCAGCGGGAGTTCCAATCGTTCCTTGAGCTTCGCCGGGGGGAAGAAGGAGGCGTACAGCAGACTGACACCCGAGCTCAACATGGAAATGTTCAGACCCTGCTTCTCAAAGTGTGCAATCAGCTCCTTCAAGGTAATGTCGTTGACCTCGAACCGATCCCAAATCTTGTCGAGAGTCACCTTGCCGTTAGGTCCCTTGTACTCAACCTTGGGACTGGCAATGGGCTCGCTGAAGCCAAAGAAGGGCAGTGCTAGGTTGATAAAGCCATTCTTGTACTGCTCAATGTCGTCCTTGCCGTCAATAATCTTGAAGAGCTCGAGAACGACGAGACCAGTCACCAGAGCCGTCGTGGTTGCAATGGCAGGAATAATCTTGCCCGCAATGAACTTGGTCTTGTGTCGATCGGCCTGCTCAATCTTGTAGTTCTCGGCGCGCAAGTTGCTAGCGGCAGTGATAAAGTCAATGTGATGATTCGTGTCATCGTCCTTCTCGAATTCAACAGGTGTGAGCTTGAAGCCAGCCATCTTACTAGCAGGTGGCAAGCTCTTTGCGATTTCCTGAAGCTCATCGCCATCATCGAAGCTGCTGGTGTTTGGATCCTAAAACAACAGTTAGCACTGCTCTCCTGTAAATTCGTCACGCATTCATCTTACCGGATCACTATCCTTCTCTTGAATCTTGACATTCGAGTCAGGCGAGAAGTCGGGGACGATCACGTTATCGAGCACCTTGAGGTAGGTTGCCTTGTCAACTCCCTTAGTGTTAATGTTGTAGTTGAAAGCGTGCAAGTTGGCAGCAGCCACCACGAATCCGAAGTGGGTTGGGTTCTTGGGGTCGAACTTGAGCGGGTCAGGAGCACGCTTCGGGCCAGACCAGAAAGGCTGACCTGAAGACGAGGTCGAATCCTTGGGAAAGTTGTAAAGCAGCTGCTGAATAGCATTGTTGTACTGCTTTTCAAACAGCGTACGGGCCCAGATGATGCAGTCCTCGAAGCTCAATGGCTTGTCAGTCACCAAATAGTCTCGAATAGTTTCCAAGGTAGCCTTTTCGTTGCCGCCCTGCTTCAATGTTGCCTCAAGATAGTTGGGCTGCGTCAAGTAGAGGTTGACGGTCTCAGGCGACTTGACAAAGGAAGTCTCGAAAAGCTCACGAGCCCAGGCAATGGTGTGCTCAATCTTGTTGGGGAAACTCCTCAGAGTGCACATGGGGAATGACTGCTCGGGCGGATCCTGGGAAGATGAGTACGACTCGGTCAACTTGGGCAAAACGACCTGAGTGTTTCCCTTGGTGCCCAGTGTGCCGCTCTCGAGGAGGGGCTTGTGGAAGAAGACACATCTGCGGTCGACATAGGTTCTTGCTTCGACATTGTCAAGCGCGTTTGTCACACCGTCCAGGTTGCCCCAGAATTCCTCATTGAAGATTTCCTCAGTCTCTGGGCTCACGCGGTCCTTAAGGCAGACGATATGTCCCTCGAGATCGGGGTTCATGGCCTGTACGGCCCTGGCGGCACAGTCACTCTTCATTCCACCCACATCCTTGGCACGGAACAAGAATTGACGGTTCAGATTGCTCTTTTCGATCGAGTCCATATCAGTAATAGTGATTTGACCCTTGGGGCCGACTCCAAGACCAATCATGGCCCAGTTCTTGAGCATCTCGCAACCAATGGCTCCAGCACCAACCAGGAACTGCCGGATATTGCCCAGCTTCTCTTGGTACTCCTTACCAAAGACTGCAATCTGTCCATCGTAGCGCGAACCAATGGGCTTGCAAAGCTCCTCAGAGCGCTTGGTGCTGGTGGGTAGCGACTCGAGAGAGTCAAAGTAGAGCCACTGCTTGATGGGGTGGAACTTGCCCGAGACAGCCTTGAGGACTTCTTGGGCAGTAAGACCACCGAACAATGCAGCCATGGGGTTGAGGTCACCAGTCGCCTGGTAGCTGAGCTCCTTGATGAGCTTCTCGTCAATCTCAACGTCGAGCTTCTCTGCTTCAGCAAAAGCCTTGGCCGATGCAACCAGGACAATGGCATCTTCCTCATTCATGGGACGAGGGCGGCGGCCCTTGGTCTGCGAGAAAGCGTGGAGGGCTTGGAAGCCAATGTGCAATTGCTGAGGCCTGTCGAACTTGGCAAAATCTGACATGAGAAACTCGGGATCCTTGATGGCGGAAGAAATGGGCTTAAAGTCCAGGAATTTGGGCATCTTGACCTGTTGGTAAAGTCCACCGCGCTTGTACTGTCCAAGACCAGACACATCTCCAATGGAGAATGTGTAAGGGCCCTTGACTGTAATCTTTCTCGGCTCTGAGGAGTTCAAGCCCTCCATGCCTTCGACCTCGGTGAAAGTGACGTAGTCACCATCTTCAAGACCGTGTCGTGTCTCGTCCAGAGCCGACACCACACCTTCCTCGTCGATATCAGCGACGATGCCATTAAGGGGATTCTCGCCGGTCGAGTCGAGGACGGTGAACTTTTTGCCAAAGTCGCAGAATATCGAGGCAAAGAGACCAAATGTATCGGCGCAAACGACGTAGATGCCCTTGGAGTGACAGTAATCGCCGATAGCGAGCTGCAGGTGCAACGGGGTATTTGTAAGCACGACAACCTGGTACTTGTCGAACTGGGAAAGATTGTCGCCTAGCCCGGCAGACTGGTGGACGTTGACGGGTGTGTAGGCATTCAGCTCGGCGACTCGTGGAGCAGTCACAGCGTCTCGTGGCTGGCCGACGTCTTCGGTGTGTAGGAAGAACTGGGCAGAAAGGTCGGCGATGGCAACGGGCTCGGGATCGTACAAGGTCAGGCTCTTGACGCCAGCAAGAGCAATATTCTTGGCAATCTCAACACCCAAACCCTTCAAGCCAACGATGAGGATGTTGGAGGCTCCCATGCGCTTCATGGCCTCGTGTCCGAGCACGTAGAGCTGTCTGCTGTAGAGGGACTCGTCAATCTCGCTGCCAGTGCCGACCACCGACTCGTCGACCTGGAGTCGGGTGACCAGGTCGACCTGCGGCGGGGTCGTCATGTTTGTGTCCTGGTTCGAGCACGACGGGTTAGTATGCGGTGTAGACAATGTAGTCAAACATGGAAACAAGATCTCATCGACTTCAACAGCTGTCAAAGCTTGAACCAGCCTCGAAAGCGTTGGAGATGATGGGCGAGGAGGGGGACAACTTACGGTCATGGTTCTCTTTGGGGAGATGGGGACGTCTCCGTTTGAGAGCTTGCGCTTCCCCAGCTTGACTGTATTTCGATCTCAAGCTCCTGAGCGCTTGAGAACTTATTTTCGCTAAGAGATTACAAGTAAATGCACGGCCAAAGAATCAGTGTCGGGTAGTAGAATGGATTGAATGCCAGAAGTATGGCTCGTGACGGGTGTTGTACAAGGTAGAAGTGGCTTGCGCTGCTGCACTGAGGCAGAGGGGTGCTGGCGGGTGGGTAGGCAGAAGGAACCCCACCAACGAGGCTGCTAGTGTGCTGCTGTACAGAAGGGTGATTCAGTTGCTGGGCGAGTTTGACCCACCAGTGAATGACGTATCGCCAGACTTTGGGCTTGGGATTTCGATGCAATGATTCTGAGCTTGCTAAGCAAGTTCCGATGAGCAGTAGATTATGAGACTTGATATTTTGACATCTAAAAGCTATGCATTGGCATAGACATGGACAGAAACAACCATGCCTGCAGGATCCTGCCTCAATTTCTTTCTGGAAAGTACTGCCTGAGATGCAACACCTGCTGATTCAGCCTTTTGAAGCAGCCGGGAGAAGCGGCGGGGTCCAGGCAAGTGGCGGGGCAAAAGCAGATCAGGTCATCAGTATGAGTGAGTCAAGTAATGTACCTAGCCCATCCTGCGGGTGTGGAAATGCACATGCACATTGGCGGCCAAGGCATATGCCAGTTTGTTCATCAGGGCCAGTTTAGTGATGACTATTGAATCAAGAGGTGGATCAACGCAATGCATCTTTTGACTTTGTACACGGAATGCTACATGGAGTGATGTGGACAAATCTGGGCATGTCTAGGTGTACCTATTAGGAAATGCAACCTTGCGCTTCCATCTCACTGGATCCTGAATCTGGATCTGGAGATGGACCAGTAGTTCATCTCAAAAAGGCTCTCTGTCTAACCTGCAGTAAACATTGACAAGTTTGAGACATGGCGTCCTCTTCCAAGACCCCAAAGCGTTCACGGCTGGTTGCTTAGATTGAGGCCACTATTCCCGTTACTAGCAGGCAAGCACGCATCGAAACAACTTGAAGAGTATTGATTTTTTTTGTTATTTTGTCATACTTCAACCACCACCACTCATGAGCATAAATGTCCTCATCCGCAGCATGATCCACCCTCCCCTGTCGTAGTTCCTGTAAGCTGATCCGACTGAGATTTCAAGAACCATTACATCCCAACTGTAGCACAGTTCTTCCTCAGAGCAAACTAATTTCCAAATACGTAGCAGCGACCTGACTCCAGAGTGCTGCCATCAAGTATGTTGCGCCGGATCAAACCTCCTCCGCGCCAGAAAATGAACAAAGAAGTATGACTAGTCCCTCGGGCGGTGACTCGTCCCATGGAACTTTTGTTTCCCTGAATGAACCGAATCATCGCCCCATCTCGGAAATTCAAAATAATGCAAAATATAGCAGTGGCGGACTCTCTATCGTAAGGACCGTTTCCTTATCATGGGTATCATTCCAAATTATTGTACCTGAACCAAAAACCAGATATGCTAAATATAGTCTCCAATGTCGTCATGCCAAATGAGTGTGCGAGTCCGTGTTCTGCCGTGCCGCTGTAATGCTAATGGTGTGTCAAGGATTGTCGTGAAGTCTATAAATCGTAAATTTTGTAAAGGGAGAGGACTTGGGTTATCATTGCTGATGGCCAGGAAAAATGAATTAAGTGTTAAGAATTAAAAGGCAAAAATGAATGCCAAAATGGTAAAGAGCAGCGAGCCCGAGCCCGTAGCCAGGGACACTCGTGCTGCCGCTGCCGTCACCACCGACGTTGCTGTGCCGGTCGTGGAAGTTCCAGTCAGGGAACCAGTGCCAACAATAGACGTAGTGGGAGTAGCGACAGTACTTCCACTGCCGCCGCCACTGCTCGTTCCGGAACCGGTGACGGCGTCCACTGAGCTGGTCGTGTGACCGGAGCTGTCTGTGCTCGCAGTACTGCCAGAGGCACCACCTCCGCCAGTGACTGACGTGGAGTTGCCACTGCCTGTTGGTGATGCTCCCGTGTTGGAGCTGCCACTTGTAGTTGCTGATCCTGTTCTAGATGACGTTGACCCCGAGGAACCACTTGAGCCGGTCGAGGCAGAGCTGTCTGACGAAATGGGGACCGATACGATACCACTGCCCGTTGAAGGCGCACCTTGTGACTCGGTTGTAATTGGTGCAGTGCCGGAGGCTTCTCCCTGTCCCGCCGAGGTTGTGGTTGTGACCTGACCAGCATCTTGTTCTTTGCAGTAATCGAGGTATTGCTGGAATGTTAATCTCACATAACCCTCTGACGTGTCTTGAACTTCACCGCCATGCCCTGCAATACAATTTTCGCAAGCTTGTAAAGTTTGATTAAACACAGAATCTGGTTTGCAAAGCCCAGTGCTCTTTCCTACGCTTTGAGCCTCTGTCTGTGCATTGTTACAAAACGTAAAACACTTGGCTGGCGCGGTTTCTCCTCTCTTGAAAAGTCCTCGATCAACCAATGGATGGTCTCGTCGCTGCTGGTGCGCTTCATAGGTAGGATATGCAGCAATGCTGGAGCTGGTCGTTGTGGTTGTGGTTGGCAACGGCCACTCACTGAGAGACGTTTGTGACTCCCAGTTGCCAGTGGTCACGGTTGTGGTCTTCTTGTGGCCATGCTTTCCCGTGATCGTGGTTGTATAAACCTCAGAGGTGAAGATGTCGTAGCTTAAGCCGAAAGCTTCAGGATTCAGGTAGAAGAAGCCATCAACAACCGGGTAATATCCGCCTGTCGTATTTTTGCAGTCTTCGTCCTCGTCGGGCCATGTGACGGTCTGGGGATTGGGTGACGGGATGCAGGCTCCTGTGCAGACATACTCATTTGCAGGAATTTCTGCAAAGACATTGCATCCGTTGGGCTTGGGCGGACTACAAACTGAGCCGGCTGGGCATCCGAATGTCAAATCCGATTTGGGATTGTATACTGGGTATGCAGAGCCAGTATTCGTTGGCACAGGGCAAACCGAGATTTGTGTTATGGTTGAGGTTGCTGTCACCGTTACTGGCGGGACAATTATTGTACTTGTCGTTGTGAAGGTTGTGCCACTCTCAGTTACCGTGATCAGTGAGATGATTGTCGATCCTGGAAGTGTCGTGACCGATCCCGGAAGCGTCGTGATCGAACCTGGCAGTTGAGTCGTGACTGTCACTGCTGGTTGTGTAGTAGTCAGAACCTCTGTAGTGGTGAAAGTGTTTGTGGTGAATATGGACTCTTCTATCGTGCTGACAGAAACCGTGACATAGGTTGCCGTAGTGGTAAGCGTGGTATAGGAGGTCGTCGATTCTGTGGTGGCAGAAACAGAAACAGAAGTAGTTGTCAATGTCAAAGTGTCGGTGATGGTGGTTGGCACGCTTGTGGTAAAGATTGACACAGTTGTGTAGGTTGATGTTACGGAGCTCGTGAGTGTGCTCGTGTGGTCGACTATTACGGTAGTTGGCACCACGGTTGTAGATGTGACTGTCGCGGTGAGTGTGGTCGGCACCGAGGTGGTGTACGTCGTTTCCGAGGTTTCAGTGGTTGTGATCGTTGCCGTGTCCGTTTCCGTTTCCGTGTCCGTTGCGGTCGTGGTCACGGGAAGAGTAAAGGTAGTCCTCTCAGTCTCTGTGACCGTGTTCCAAATAGTCGAAACGACGCATGTCACAGCGGATGTAGGATGCACATTGGCGACCGTGACTCTGGAGCCAGCGCAAACGGTCACATAAGAGGGATAAGACTGTAAAATGTGTTAGACAGGCCAATTTTAGGTACTGAAACCTTCTTACAGTGGTCACCACAGAAGTAGCAGTTTGAGTAATGTATTCGGTGTCAATGGTTGTTTTACTGGACTGTATTAGCTCATGTCCTTCTCCATATGTCATGGAACATACGTTGTTGTCTCTTCGTCAGTCACTGTCGATGTTTTGGTACGTTCTGTCGATTGCGTAATGTAGACTGTTGATGTGGCACTGCTCATGGTCAGCATATAAATCGAGGCGTTTTTGCTAGGCAACTGACGTGATAGTCTCGTAGCAAGTGGTCGTGCTGGTCTTGATTTCTGTTTCTGTTTTGGTGGAAGTCCTGGTCACAGTTGGGCAAAAGTTGTTGAGCTGTACACTTGATGCTGCGTAAGTATCAATCACAGCATCTTCTGCAGTTTCATTCTGTCTTGGAGATAGACTCGCTGCGCTTGCCGTCAGTGCAAGCGACAGAGGCACCAGCACGGCAAGATGCTTGAAGATTTGCATTTTGCAAACTTTTAGTTGTGCCGAGCTCAGCTTGGGGCTAATTCGGGCTCAACACAAAACGATTGACTCTGGAGATAACGAATGTCCAGTGAAAGAATGGCTCGTCCTGCACAGGATAATGTGTGTGGTACTGGACCCCAAGAGAAGCTCGGGGGCTGACTTGTATAAGTTGAGAGGGAGGGTGTGTTTACTTTAATTCCCTCCCAGCCTTTTACTCAATGGCAACCAAATGGAAAGGACCGTCAAGGATCAGAGCCTCTGTCAACCTCGAATGAGAATGATGTACACTCCTGATGGGTCTGGACAACTGCGCAGAATCTTCAATGTACAGGTGACGTGCTCTCCGCAACCACTCAGAGCGGGAAATGAGAGAAGACGGGGTACGAGTGCAACATGCTCATCCAGCAAGAGCTGCCCCAAAGCTGGCCGGGTAAGGCTGACCACAACGACAACAAGCACAGCCGATTCACGGGAGCTACGAGGTACGTACGAGGGTGAGTGAGCTTGGAGCTACACGAACCGGGATCTGGTCGCAATGGTTACATGGTGAGAGTTGGCCATGATTCCATGTAACCAGGCACCCATGGCTGGTGCAGATCTGCCTATTGGATCCCCGGACTCATGTGCATCTTGAGGGGGGAGTGGTATGTATGCAAGCAGAGCCCGGCCCGTCTGTCATGTAGAATATCCAAGCGCCCAACACGCTGTTTAATCTGCAAAAGTTCATCGTTGAGGAAGATATTCTCCAAAGGACAAGACAGTCTTGCTTCAATATTCGAGCATGTATGCTGTGCTCGATCACGATCAAAGTGCCGGTCGAGTACCACCCAACTTTGGGTGGCGTACATAGGTACTGTCCTCGATTGATTGTTTTTCATTCGGTCTCACGTAACACGATGAGTGAGGGAGAGACATGACCAACTCACTATTGGCCCGAGAGACCTTCAGCCCTCTTCGCCAAGAGGTGACTAGATGACCCGGGACTCTGAGTGGGGAAGACTTGTTAGTCGAATCCTTTGGCGTGGCCCAGATTCCGAAATACTAGTATAGACCTTCTTGCTAGTCAAATAACAAGATCAGGTCATGGCTTTGTATGGTAATAATGCAGTTCATGCTCGACGCTGGTGTTGATGATGCTGGAAGGCTGCCGCATCGTACGCAGCATTTCTGCTCCCTACCGAAGTAGTGTGAAGGCTCTGTTCGAGCATAACTGCCGTTGAACGTGCAGGAGTTCAGAGTCTACGATAACGCATCCCGCCTGCCTGGAACTCGAGGTAGGTGCGGCACGGAAAGCAGCATTGCAGGTTGGCAGCGGCACAAGTCGATGATGAGTGACAGTCAGCAGCAGCAGCAGCAGCCTGGCCGACGAGTGACAATATCCCGCACCGACATCAAAGAGACACATGCATGGTTCCTGTGGTATACATTTATGCATGTATGTATGCATGTACAAGGGCAAAAAAGAAAAGCCCAACCTCGGACCAATGAAGGCAAATTTGTTTTCTTTGTTCCTCTCGCGGCCGCAGTCGGGCGCTGTTGGAGTAAAGTGCTCACTGCTGCCAGGGGTGGGCCAGGGCGGCCAGTGGTTGGCAACTCACGGAACTGGGTCGGATAGAACAACCGACAGCATGTTGGTCGTCAGAATACAGTAGGTGGGGTATGAATCGAGCACTCTCGACCGCCTTGAAGACTGTGGTCATCCAATATTGGCCACCGCGAAGGGAAAGAATCGCCACGGAGTACCTTGCAATATTGATTGTTGCTGGCAAGTCGTAAATGTGCAAGGCTAGATTAGGCCAGACCGAGGCTGGGTGACCAAGATCGCGAGTACATCACGTTACTTTTCAAAGTCTCTGTCTCTTGGCGAGTAGCGAAAGAGGCCAAGGCCTTTGAGAGGCGGTCGAGCGAGTGAGAGATCCGACATTTGTTTCTCTACTTTGTGCTGGCATTGTTTGATTCGACAGACCTCAACTTATACGAAAGTCTCGACGGGGCGACCAATTCGAGTCTTCTTTTTATTTGGCTGTCAACATGACGATCAACTTGTCGGGTGGCACAAATAGGACTCTGTTCTTTTTTTTTTCTTTATCCGGCGTACCTGTGTCACTCGAGGGAAGTAGACTGACTCTCACAAATGATTTCTATCCTGGCGTAAAGCACCGCCGCGGGGTAGCTTTTTTGCTGTTGGGCCATGGTCTTTTTGTCACCTTGACCCCCCTGTACTGTGTGATTCTGATCTTACTTGCATCGTAGCTGGTCGTAATGGTTGCAGCCCCCACCTACCTACCAGTGCTACATACATAAGCTGTTAAAAAAGGGTACCCAGGCAAGGTGGTAGATGTGCAAGTCGTTTGTGAGCAATCAGGCTGAGTTCGCACGACTTTGACCAGGCTCTGCTTCTGCAAAGAACATCTACCCAGTACTGATAATAATGATCCGCGGTCCAGAAAATATGGATCAATTCACTGTCGATTATCGCTATCAATTGCGCTCATCCATCGCGGAATCAAAGACTATAGACACAGGTAAATGGTAGGCGGTCGTATATAAATAGCCATTCCGGGTGTAAGTGAGAAAGAAAACCCATCACATCAACAGTGTGTGCAATTGCCAGAAGAGAACAGGACGGCCCCGAAGTTCCACTAGGCGTCGTGTTAGTGCTGCCGGGCCGGAATGTTGTCGCCTGGTAATTGGTCACTTTTGCGATGGATGCATGGTTCGTTGTCTGCTGATTGGTTTTATAGTAGAATCGTGCGCCACTTATTAAGGAAAGGGCGGGAAAGTATGTAACCTAAGTAGTCGTCCAGATTCGAAAAGCAACAACCGGGATCTACTTTGTACACTACCTCGAGCCAAACCTTAGTCGGACCTCACCAAAAAGAATAACACGCAAACGAGGAAAGAAAAGGAATGCATTGACTCGAGTTTCTCACATTCCAATCATTCTGGTTGCCATGGATGTCAAGATTGTTCCAGCCAAACCAGCACGTCCCTTTTTGTGTCTCGTCATCATTGTTTATGAGCTCAATGTGTAAGGGCGAGAGAGAGAGAGAGAGAGTATGGACAACCCCCGTCACCACGCAACCAACAAGAGATGCCATTGGAAATATTGGAGCGCTGCCCGTACTGACCGACTGCTTCATTCTCTCCCGGTCGGGCCGTGATTTGCGAGGCCTTCCTCTTCCCCATGCCCTTTCTTCTTCTTCAACTACCTACCTAATGATCGACGGACGGCTTACCCGTCAGATCATCGACCCCGCCAACACCAACCCAGCCTTTTCTTGCTACATAGTACAGATTACTGCTCGACAGCAAAATGTACAAGGTCTTTTGCGTTACCTGCAGCTGACGGCAACACTCTCCACCAATGATTGACCCTGCCTGCTTTATGTAAAGGTAGTTCAAGTATGCAACCATTCTGGCCGATGTATCTCAATTAATACAACATCGCATCGTTCGACGAATCCCCCACCCTGGTCCTCGCTCGGCGACCAGATTCTGCTGCTTTTCAACAATGTCACCGTATCTGACCGGCGAGTACCGACTCAGGCCACCCTCGTATTCCCCTGTTCACTCGACTCGAGTATACCTTGTATTCATTGCACATGTATACTGCTGCCAAGTACCATGTATATGTCTTCCACCGCCAAGCCTTCATGTCAGCAGAAAGCGGCGCAGATTGCTGTCTATTGTCACCCATTGGCAGGCATCCCCCCCTTCTGGTCGACAGAGCTGAGTTGCGTTGTGCATTTTATCCTGCAGCCGACCGATCGTCGCTGTTTGCGTGGGTGATGGCCTAGAGAGTCATGTCTTGTGTGAAGCCTCACTACTCAAAGATGCTTTCCAGCCCATACTGGCATGAGGGTGCGCATACCGCGCTTGTGCTTTTTAATCTCTGCCAGAAGTTTTGAATCATCGCATAGTTGTGTTCTTATGTTTGCTCATTGCCGGTGAGGCTGAGAAGGGGGGGAAGATCGGTTCGGAATTGTTTTGGTTCCGGCGTTGGTTGCTTGCAGCCAAGGGCAAAGAAGCACTTGCACACCTTCCCATGCGAGGGAGGCATGTGAGTGTGTGGCATTGGTCTTACTCTTGTCTTCCCCCATCCGGGGTATACAACTGCCCTGAAGAGAGCGAAAACTGCAAGCCCCCATCTCACAAAGCTTACAGTGAGTGGTATGACTTGCAGTAGATCAGCACCGAGAACACTGAATCTGTTCTTGCTCTTCAGCACTCACTCCAATCACCAAAAAGTAAAAAATTGACATCCACAAGAGACATCGACCAATACCCATCAATTTCTGAGCGAGGATCCTATCCTTCTTTTTAACACATTTGCCACACTATAGACATCAACGGGAGCGGGGCCGCCGTGTAAGGCTTTGTTCACCCATCCATATCTGACCGAGACAAAAGACGGACTCGATAGGCACTACCAGATCCGTTGTGTGCTCTGCTTTCATCTGGAACCGGATCACCACGGATCATCCTCATGGTCCTCTTGGCCACGCATAGCCTGACAAATCCAGAATAATGACCTTGCATTCCAGTCGTTAACCGGGACTCCTTTGTTTACCACAAGATTGCCTCCCGATCCTGCGTACAACCAGTCAAGGCCCGGTTCATGTAGTCTTGCCAGGGCTCCGTTTTGTTTGCTCTGTTTCCGCTTCCTCACAATAAGTGCAGGCCGATGCATACACCATTGGTTTCTCAACAACATCAAAGCATCATGCCGTGGTCAAGGATGGCCTTTTGGGCACTCACTGCTGGCATGGCCGCAGTTACCAATGCCCAGGCATCTGGATGGGCCGAGGGCCAAGTCAATGCGACAATGTGCGCATGGCAGAACCCAAGAGGTACGTTTAGCTGATCATCCTCCTGCCTTGTCGATTCGATATTGATGCCAGCATAGCGGCCCAGATTCGAGATACACTGTACATTGATGGAGGATATCTCTTCTGGGTGCCGGGCATGTCTGATGGGACATACGGCCCTGCAACCCAGGACAGTGAGTGATTGAATGTCTACGAGACCACATTGGCAGACTCTCTAACTATACCTCAGACAATCCTCTTGGGTTGATTTATACATTGAACTTTAGTAAACCATTTAATTCTTCTACTAATATAAGCGACATCATGGAGACAATATCAAAAGCTCCCAATGGAAATGCGGCCAACAACCTTGCGCCCAACTTCTTTGACGGCGCCATGCTCCACAACGATGCCGAGTTCTTCTTATACGGCGGCCTAACAACCAGGACTGACAAGTATCAACCACCAGATGCCGATGATGTACTCGCATACGAGTTATATCAGTATGGTGCAGAGAAGGAGCAATGGTTTCCCGGCTTCCTCACAGACAGCCTTGGCGACGACATTACGAGGTATCTCGCCTTTGGCGGCGGCGTGAGCGCGCCTTCGGAACAAAAGGCTTGGTATTTCGGTGGACTACGATCGCAGACCTGGGGCCCGATTTACTACCCAGGCATCAATGATAGTCTTAACCCGCTGGACGCGTCCAACACCCTCCTGACCCTGGATATGGCTGAGCAACAGCAGGAGACATGGGCCAACGACACGCTTCCTGGTGAAGTCAAAGGGCGTGGTGGTGTCGATGTCGTTTGGGTGCCCGTAGGAGATCAAGGGATCCTTGTTGCACTCGGGGGTGTGGTCTATCCGGACTTTAACAATGGAAATCTGACCTCGCAGAACAGAGGCCAAAGCGTAAGTGGCGTACAGTCAAGAAACTCTAAAGGCTCAACTTGCTGATAGCCACGTAGGAAACCGACAGTCCAGCATTCATGTCAACTATTGACATTTTTGACATTGCCGGCAACAGATGGTACCAACAGCCCACTATTGCCGGGCCGAATCAGCTTGCTCTTGGTTGTGCTGTTGTTGCTGCAGCCCAGGACGGTTCGAGCTTCAATATCTACTACTATGGTGGCTACAACGGTCTGGACATGGATCAGCCTTTCAATGATGACGTATGGATCTTGTCTCTGCCCTCATTCATGTGGATGAAAGTCGCTTCGGGAACCGAGGCACACGCCCGCGCTGGCCACCGCTGCGTCAAGCCGTACCCAGACCAAATGGTTGTCGTGGGAGGTTACCGCCCTCTTTCGGGATCGGGATCGCTAGACTGCCTCGAAGACACCAATATTGTTCAAGCATTCAACCTCACAGAAGGCAAATGGATGGACTCGTATGACCCAGAGATATATGAGGACTATGGCGTCCCCGAGATGATCCATCTCATGATTGGCGGCAGCTGGACTGGTGGTGCCACAATGACTACACCAACTCCTACTGGATGGGCGACACCATCGCTTTCGGAAGTCTTTGAAAAGGCCTATCCGACCTCGAAGCTGACCAACTATTATCCCTATGGTCGAGATGACGGTGGCAGCGGCAGATCGGACGTTTCGAGCGGCAGCGGCACGCCTCCATGGCTTGCGCCCGTGCTCGGTGTAGTGCTCGGACTCGTCTTCATCACGGCCATCATTGTCGGCGTCCTGCTCTACCGCCGACGCAAGCAACTCATGCGGAAACCAGGGGCGAGCGAAGTCGCCACGGATGAGAACGGCCACCGCATTCTCTCCTGGATGCGTGGACAGGACAACAATGGCAAGGCGCAGACAGTGACCAGCGAGGAACCGCAAACGTTCGACGATGTTGAGAGCCGAGTGGGCGGACAGACGCCCTATCAGACACATCCTGAGATGGCCAAGGCGCAGCCGGCGCACGTCATGGCTGAGATGCCCGACACACCATTGTTTGAAATGATGGGTATGTTTGGATTTTGCCTCTGACAAGACAGTTGAAACAGAAAATACTAACATGACTGATAGACACATCTCCTCGTGTAGAGCTGAGCGATACGGGCCTGACGCCTGTAGACATTATCAACAAGCACTCGCATTTTGCTCGCTCGCCGCACACGGCAACAACGCCGACAAACCCGTCTTCATTTTCAAACTACTCTAGCAACATTGAGCATGCCTCGATATCGACAAACTCGCAGACACGAGGCATCTTCCCCGGCTCTGAAGCCCGACCAGACTCCCCGGCGTTACCCATCACGTCGGCATCTACGCCGCCACTGGGAGCCGCTCAGCCCCCGCCCGACAACAGGGTGGTGTCGGACCTGAGCGGCATCAGCAACCGTGAGCAGGCGCACCTGCGAAACATCAGTGACGCAAGCGTCGTCAGCTCGGGCGCGGGCGTTGTTGGCACAGCGCCGCCGACGCCCGTCATGGGCCACGCATTTCCCTCGCCCGCCCTCGTGAGCCCCCCGAGCGCGGGCCCGGAAGGGCGGGAGGATTACTTTCAGAGCGTGGGCCAGACTCTGAACACGGGCAACTCGTCGTCGGGGACGCCACTCGGCTCAGGCGCCTCACCATTAAGACGGAGTGTCTTTGTGGAAAGCCAAGACGACCTGGGACTAAAGGGCGACAGGCGGTGATGGTAATCTAGTAGGCGTGAAGCAAAGGAATGCTAATTGTAATGGCTGCAGAGCAATACATCGCGGCTATAGAATACGTGGTCCGAGAAAGAAATCTGGGTTGGAGTCAACAAGTCTTCTTTGTATATAGGTTATAGGTTTTGGGGAAAGCGGGCATCATCATGCGGTCGGTACTTACGTTCCTTTTCTTGCATAATGAAATTTTCAAGCACCTTGGCATGATCATCTGCACCATTATGACGATTCCGAGTGAGTGAATGGCAAGAGATGGGAACTGTAGATTGGCGATGCTCAAGCTGGGACAAGCTGACGATTCGAACTCTCCTAATACATATTGCCATCACATGCGGTCAAAGCTCTTGGAAAACTCGACATCCCGTCCGCTCTGCCTTTGATAAACTGAGAAGCGGCCGCGTAGTAGTAAACTGGCTATTATACACCACCCCCTTTGCCTTGGATTGCGGCCAACTAAGCGGCTAACCCAAGGTGAAATGAGTTGCCCGCCCATGGCGGGCAAGTCATGTCAGCTTGTAACCTCCTCAGACATAGACCACAACAAAAGTTCTATTATGGTATTATGGGTATATACAACGTTTTTTGCAGATTTCTTGGAGTCACATGCGCGGAATTTGTGCAAGCTTTGACAGCTGTCGAGAGGGCGGCCCATCGTATATTATGGCGCAACGGCTGGGAAGTCTTCTATTCCATGTGTCCTCCAACAGATCAGCCGCTGAAGTAGTAAGAACATCACTTACTGGGATCCATGGCAAGGCTCTGATGGTCCTTGTCTTCTACAAACCTTCTGTCTACTGCCCGATGCGGAAGCTTGTGAGGCATCTGATAATCTTTTACTGGGCCCTCCGTGCATCAACTGCAGTATTTAATTCTACGACTGCTCGATTGGCATATGATGCGTCTGCGATCATCGACGGCATAGGCGTGGGAAATTGCTATTTGCGGCTTTCATAACACCTTTCCCAATGGCAATGGCGAGTGAGAGGCTGGAGGAGACTCAATCATGTATCGCTGTAAAGAGAATGCAACACCTTTTTTACCGGGGTCATAACAAATCAGCCTGACTTGAGGAGAAGGGGAAAGGCCGACGACATAGTTTCGACTCGAATCAACGATCTGCCAGCCTTGGAATAGGTATACCCACCTGGTACAAGAAACGCACATGACTTCTAGGAGACACTCGGCTGCTTGGTTCATCCATACTCGATGTCTTATTAGACACGAGCTACTAGCGAATAAAAAGCAAGCTGATATTCCAGGGACTGAAATATGGAAGCTTGAAATTCTCTCAACTAAATGATAGCACCACCTAGCCGAATCCCTTGCACCACATACTCTAATACCATGTTTCTTCGACAAATACTGCGGGCAGACATACTGATGTAGGCGCCCATGACGATCATTAAGATCACCCGGGGCACATCCAGGTGGTGAAGCTGCGCGACGAGCGGTTTGCTCTGGCCATAGCTCATACTCCACCGGCTTCCCTCCATCACGCAAAAAAGGGTCATACCGCGCGGCTGAATTGGCTGACATGTCGCTCCAACAACTATTGATTGCGATTTGTCATATACGATAATTGGACCCACTGCTTGTCTCAGAAACAATGGGTTGATCCTCTTCAGCTGAAAGCCAAGGGAAGATCACTTCGGCGATTACATTGGGCATCCATCCAGAACCCAGCGTATCGAAATATTCATTCAGGGTTGGCATATGTAAATGATCATTATGATCCAAACATTTATAATGGGCGAGATGCCTGGCCATGTTGGATCCGTCAAATTGTAAACACTGGAAAATCAGGAAGATCCAACATTCATTTGTATCTTTGTAGTTTTGCACCAAGACAAATTCGCCCACTGCCCCCAAACGGCAAACGTTCATTCTCAAGGTGCGCTCGAGATGACTTAACACACTATTTTCTCTAATTAATTCTCAGGTCGCGGAATAAATTGGAACAACGACCGGGAGGTCGAAGATGCGTGTGCGAACTATCGGGCATGGGCACTAGAAATTGTCAACGACAATATTAGCAAACTCATCAACCCGGAAGTTGTGAAACACCCATGGAGCAATGATTTTAACATGAATTGCAAAGTCCAGGTCTTCGAGCTCGAAGGGGATCATACCCAAGCCCCTCGTCAATTCGATGATGCCATGGCTATGCTACGCTTTTGGGAGAACACACCAAAAGATGGATCCGAGAGCCGAACGAATCGACGAATAATACTTCTCGAAGATATGGTGTCTAGAGTCAATGAGATCTTAGGAGTCAGCCTTGGCATCCCGCCTCATTTCTTTCTGGCTCACTGTGACAATTTCACAGATCTGAGGATAATTGACGATACATTTGCGGCGCAGAACTCGTCGTACTGGAAAGTACCGTTTCCAATAGCTCGATTTGTGCCCCAGACAGTTCCACCTGGGCCTTATACCGCAGAAGTCGGCAACTTCAGTCGGGATCACTTCGACATTCAACCACCTGGTCCAATAAACTTCAACGGCTACGTTTCCTACTGGGGTAGAAGTTATGGATTGGATTCGTGGACAGGTACGTGAATGAACCCTTATCCTCTGACTTGCACGGCTAAGTATGTTACAGCAGTCATGTTGATAGATCCGCCCCAGGCCTGGCTGCGGCAACCGAACGTATCTTACGAACTGCAAATCCGTTTTTATCCGCGAGATATCTTGCATGAAGTGATGATATCGGGTAATGATGTCAATCGTAGGATCATTCAGCCTTGTCATAGAAACATGTTCGAAGCGGCAGTTCAGGCCCATCGGCAACACCCGATACTACATACTCAGGACCCTTTCACAGGATCCATGTACGTCAGGAACCTGATTCGCTCAGCATGGGAAGATAAGATCATGCGCGAAGCTACAAGTTTCGCCGATGTACTGGGCGAAGACCGCGATAAGTACAGGGTGCACCAGGCTGTCGCTGACACAGGCAAAACTGCAGGTACTGCTTATTTCGATCTGATGGTGAAGCGGCAATCGATCCAGCAAGCAAAGGAACGTATTTTGTCCATCATGTGGAAGTTCAGATTATATGATGTGGACGATACATCAAAAGCGAACGATCTGTTCACCACTCCTGAGCAGGCAAAGAACACCCGTTTGCAGAGATACTTGGAAGAAGACAGACAGCGTCAGGTCTACTTGTCTGAAGAGAAAAGAGCGTGGAAGATGCTGTTCGAGACTCAATGCAGCTTGGAGTCGAAGGCGGCTGAACATATGGAAATGTGGTCACAACGTGCGGCAAGAAGCGCAACGGCAAACGGGTGTGGCGAATCGAATGGCACGAACATCAGGCCAATTGACGAAGATTGCGACAATCATCGTGCCATGCACCTTTGTCGCATCCATTTTCTCCATGGGCGGAAGGTTTGCAGCAGGCGAAGACCACTTCTACATCTACTGGGCTGTCTCCGTACCGGTCACTATCACCCTGCTTGTCTGGGTATTGTATGGCGACAACATACAAAAGTCCTGGGAAAAGCACAAGCCAACATGGAATTTTAGAAGGGACAACGCGCACCGGAATGCACTGGACCAAGCGACCGGACCCTAAGCGGCATTTCAGGGTATTGGGAACTTGAGAGGGACTCCAATGGCCGGTCATGGTTGATTGCATATGAAATACCATTGAGCGACACAATTGTTGCGTGATCTAAACATCCAATGGTTTCTCCTTAGTCTCTACTCCCACATCTTTAATGTTCTCCATAGTCACTTTCGCCCTCTGTGCTCCAATATCCGCCCAACTCACACCATCCTTCCTCAGCTTCTCAAGACAGTCCGCCGATGTACTATATCCGGCTTTCTCTTCCTCGCTTATCTCGGGGCCTAGAAACGTAATAATAGCCATAAACACCTATACCACGCCTAGAAAGATCCTAATAACCTTTTTATAATTATACCGCGCGGTTGCAACATTTTTGCAGCTTTTGCTCTTATATTTCTTTTGGTGCAGGGAAACACAAGTCAGCCTTACTTGCGATGCATGTGTTCCCAAGCACTGCAGGGTGCCTTAGGTCAAGGCTACCTTGATGTTGCTTGATTCCTAATCCAAAAAGGAGCCAACACCCAATTTTCCGGATCGCAATTAAGAGACCACCTGTGGGTGGCTTCAGCCGGTTGTCATCTTAGAGTTGTGGAATTTCTAGTCGCAAATACCACAAACTCCAACAAATTTCTCAAGGATTTTACACCTCTAATACGCATTTCCATCACATACAACCACAGCTCTTAGAAAACTCGGCATCCCGTCCGCTCTGCCCTTTGATAAACTGAGAAGCGCTGGATTAGTACTCAGATCGGTGACGGCTGGGGAATCCCCGGTGTTGTATGTTTTTTTGTTTCAAATTTTTGTTTTATTGATCGGAAGTCACCTTTATCACCTTTTTATTCGAGGTTTTGAGATATTCCTAACTTTTGAAGATTGTCCTAGGTGACCGACCGTATACGCGACCTGCAGGTTGGCGGTTCCCCACCTACTTGGGCGTGCACGTGCTCCCTCAATATCAATTCAATTTGTCTCTCCATTTCCCTTCACGCGGGGCAATCCGCCGAATGGCCTCTGAGGTGTTAACCAACAACACACACTGGAACCAAATACGGGACCTGAGCCCGCACAATGTCAGACGCAAATGCAACCACACCAAGGGTCTTCATCGCCCGTCACGGTAAGACAACGTCAGACCCGAGATCTATCCTTGCCAGTAATGATTCGCTGACTTGTTCTTTTCTTTGCTCTTTTGATAGGAGAGACGGAGTGGACAATCTCTGGGCAGTGCACGGGAAACGCGGATATCCCGCTGACTGAAAACGGCGTCAAGCAGAGCAGGAGTACCGGCGAGAAGCTCGTCGGGCGGGGCAAGCTGATTGATCCTGCCAAACTTGCCCACGTCTTTTGCTCTCCGCGTCAACGAGCCGTCAAGACACTCGATCTCCTTCTCGGGGAGGACACGAAAGCGACCCTCGAGTCCGAGGGAAGACTCAGCATTACCGACGACATTACTGAGTGGGACTATGGCACCTATGGTCCGTGTTTCCCTTGTATCTTGTCGAATGAAGGGCAAGCTGACATGCGTTTGCGAAGAGGGCATCACTCCAGCTGAAATCAAGACTCAGCGAGCCGAGAAGGGTCTACCCAAGTGGGACATTTGGAATATGGGATGCCCTGAAGGAGAGTGAGTCCCTGTTGAACTGCCCAAGGCTCGCGCACGACACTCTGCTGACCCAACGCCTCAGATCTCCGACCCAAGTACAGGAGAGGCTAGATAGGCTCATCGGCAACATCAAGAAGATTCAGGAGCCGTTCATGCACGGTGGCCCAGCCCCGGACGTCCTCGTAGTTGCTCATGGTCACATTCTTCGTGCATTCACCAAAAGGTGGCTGGTAAGTGGTACCCAGGCCCAACTGCTAAAAGCCGGAGACCGAACTAACTCTGTTTTTCTGAAGGAGTGGGACATGGGATTTCCTTTCACTATGATGATGGAACCTGGTGCCATTGGCGTGCTCAGTTATGCGCACCACAACATCGCTGAACCTTCGGTGTTGATCGGCATGGCCTTCCCGACCACGGTCTAAATCGCCATGCAAGGTGCCACTCAGGGCTTTGGAGCCATAGTTGCTCAGGGATTCATACGAGGTGGGCGAGTAGGACACGTGACGACCGGTTACATCTCCTCATCGTCATCACCGAGCGCCACTGCTGCCTCGTCATCTTGCCCAGCGACAATAGCGTTGATAGGAGAGGGCTTGGCGGCACATTCGGACTTGGTGAGCGACTGAGTGATCCCAGCTCCGTTCTGGACCGACTCGATTGCCTTGCGGTCTGGCTGAAATTCGGCAGGGAACTTTTCGATGGGCGATCCGATACCCGCGATCCTCTTTTTGAGACCGCTGATGATTTCTTGCTGCTTGGCTTTAACGACGCTGTGGACAAACTCCTCGGCCTTTGCGCAGAACTCGGAGAGCCTCTTCCTCTGCTCGCGAAAGTAGACATTATCTTTGACGTTCTCGTCGATGTTGCTGATGTTCAGCTTGTCGACGAGCAAGAGACCCTCCTGAATGCATCTGCGATCAACTTTGAGGTACAAACCTGACACATCCTTGAACAAGACAAAATTGCCATGATGCGCCATGTGAATTTGAAAATCAACTGGAGATTGTTAGCGAGCCTTGAAAAGAATCGAATCAGTGATTGATAGGTACTTAAGTCGCAGTAGTGCTTGCCGTACAAGAGGGCATTGTCCGGATTCTATTTTGCATAAATCTTGATTTCTACCACCCACGCCGCCGTGGCTGCGTCCGGGTGCAACACAAAGTGCACCGGCAAGTCCACCGAGACCTGCGGCTCTGCCACTCGTATCGACTTGGACGAGCTGGTGGCGCCGTGTCGTTGGTCTTAGAGATACCCCTTCGCAACTAAACTGGTAGATGAGCATTTACTTATCTGATTACTGAGAACTTGCTTTTTGTATCCAACCGCGACTCTCCTTTTCGGCTGCGATGGAAAGTATCCTTTGTTACACTTATTTGTGTGAGGTAACGAAAAATGCCATAGAAATAGGCGTTATATTGGCGCCGTTTTTGTATTTTCTTTTTTTTTTTTTTAAAAAAAAAAAAAGAGAAAAAGAATTCGCCTGAAAAGGAGAAAATTTCTGCGTCGGTAGCATGATAAATAAAAAGCCGCACAATATTCTTGCGCGTACGTGGTGAAGCGTAGTATATAGGCGTTTCTCCTTAAATCAGAGCGGGTGTTTACATCGGTGCCGCAATCGAGGAGGAGCCATGTGATCTGGGTACATCGGTACAAAGAAGCACTATACGACGGTTTCCACCCAGTATATGAGGTGCTGGCCTTTATGTCCGCGCCAAGATCCAGGCACCAGCCTCGCAGCTTCGAGACGACTTTGCAACAAGGCAAATAAAACAGGATCCATCCATGCGGTATGATGTTCACCTTGGCACCGAGCTTCACTAGCTAGATGGTGGCAAGAAATTCGTTACGATCTGCCGCGAATGATAGCAGAGTCCAGCCTTTTTTGTCTTGTTGGTCTGTATTGGTGCCGTGCCGCCTGGGCCAACTCAATCAGGCACAGTGGCTAATTGCAATGCATGGCACGTGGTCGTCGGTAAGTACACCCTTTTCACTGGAGATGTAATTAGTTTGTTAGAGTAGAACTATTAATATTGACATTGGTATTTAAATTTAGATGGCGATGGCTGTTGGTCTGTTTCCAACCAGTACGGCATCACTTTAAAGCAATTCTATGCATGGTGAGAACTCTCTGGGTCCACGGGTCCGAGTACTCGCCGTCTGACACTGTGCAGAACAACGCGGTCAAATTGCACCATTCAACCGGGCATGCAACACCATGGTGTCTGTTTCATGACGGTAGTGGGCAGATAAGCATGTATCTGTGACTGCAATGCCATGATCGAAGTACTTACGCCTTCTTCGATCCTCAATTTGCCAGCGACCAGCGACCATTGGACAGCGTCAGTCAGATGGCGCAGCATTATGTTTCAAAGATAACCAAGGTGCACCAGGGTCCTGTTATTGTGGGCGGTAAGCCATTGCCTCCTCTTGCCTCTACTGCACACTGAGTTGACAAGTCTAGGGTGGTCTTTCGGCGGCATAGTGGCATTCGAAGCTACACGGCAATTGATGGCGAAAGGGGTCGAGGTTAAAGGTCTCATGCTAATTAACTCTCCCAATCCAATCAATCATGAGCCTTTACCCAAGGAGGTTATTGCAAGTATTGCCAGACCTAGCAGCCGAACGGGTGCATCCCGTGACAGCACTGCGATGAAAGAAGAATTTCTCTATAATGCGTCACTCTTGGGGGCATACGATGCCATTCCTCTACCCGCTTCGAGACGTTCAAAGTTGAGAACAGTGATGCTGAGAAGTCAAGATATCGTGGACACTGAGAGTCTGTGTGGTGTTACATACGAGTGGCTCAGTAACCAGAATGCAAGATCTGCTTCCATTGATGTTTGGGAGGGGCCTGTCGGCGGCCATGTAGAGGTGCTACCCATTCCAGGGAATCACTTCAAGCCCTTGTCACGGACAAAATGTGAGTTCCTCTCGGCTATAATACTTTATTACTTCTTACTTGGTCGCTAATTGATTTCAGATTCGGGAGACAGGTGCCCAATTGTGGAGGGTTTGCCAGTACATAGAAGAAATGAACGACTGGCCATCAGGCAACTCGTTCATGGAGCTATGACCCGGGGATACCGACTCGTTTCGTGATTTTAAGAAGAAAGAGAACAAGATAAAAGGAGAAAAAGAAGAAGAAAAAACACTTGAATTCAACCAAGTGCTCCATGATTAACGTCTCACCTGAGCCAATACGAAGGGGAATCAGTGATCGTAAACGTAACGAAAGAAGATTTTGTTGATCCTATAGAGCTACAAAAGAGATGCGCTGAAGAGCTATCTAATATACCTCATATCAGATGTATCATAAGCGGGTTTGAATAACGATAGAAAGCGTTTGCCCCGACTCACATGTTGAAGCTGATACATGTCTGGTAGAGGTGACTCTTTCATTATTCTCAACTCTTCCTTGGCTTTATGAGTTTCAGCCTCCGACTTTTCCCAGGCAAGACTTTTTTCCATGCGTGCACGCTTGAGATTCGGGTTAGTGTTGAAGTCGTCATCTGAAAACTCCAGCTGCACCGTCCAACCAGGTTGCACCAACGACCAAGCGTTCGCTCCTATGATCATGTCATCTGCCCCCACAAAGTGGAAGTCTCGACTCTGGACAAGGTCGCGGTAGCGGTCTTCCCCGGTTTGAGATCGCCAATATTTATTATACTCTGGGAGATTGCGCGCCAAGTTTGGCTTCATTGAGCCAATGAAAGTACATATTCCCTACACCAGATGGTCAGATGTGTACGTCCAAGCCTAATAAGAGAAAATGTTTGCTGTACTTACTTCCCATGTACTGCAGTCGTCGTATGCGCACAAGTGGCTATTGCCAAATGAATCTTCTACCTTAATCCAATTGTCTGGATTAGGCGGAACGGGCTTTTCTATTCGAGACGGCAAGGTACTCATAGACGGCGACTTCAAATTCGATTGTTGAGAGGCATTGATCCTCGGACTCTGGCCTGGAGCTGAGTGTGCAGGAGCAGGAGAGTCGGTTGGAATTGTAGGGTTGACGGGAGCAGAAGCATCGACGGGAACAGAAGTCTTGATGGGAGCAGAAGCATCAACGGGAGCAGAAGTGGTATAGCCATCCGTACCACTCCTGGTCTCCAGCAGTGGTATCGTACTGTCCACTTCATCGTTCAGGATCTTTTTCGCAAATTTAACAGTTCTCCGCGTGAGAACGCGCATCTCTTCCCAGACCTCATATGTTGATGGCAAAGAAGATGGCTCTAGACTGCTCTCAAGCTGATCAATCGCCGCCAAGTCATCATCTGTGAGGCTGTCGACCGAAGCTAGAACTAATGCACCGTTCTCAATTTTGGCCGCGGCATCGTCAACTCCATCCCCATCAACATTCACCTCTGTCTGCGTCGTCGAACTTGTATCGGTGGTAGACTCTGGCAAGTCTTGATGGAATGGGTCGAGAGTCCGACTCGTTAGGATCGCCTGCGAAGATTCGTTGCTACTACGGAGCATTTGCGTCGAGAACTTCGCAGACTTTAAGGTTGCCTGTATGGCCAAGGTACTCTCCAGGGAGCTTCTGGCAAGACTGTTCCAACTTAGCATCAGAGATCTGCATATAGATTTGATAATCTTACCGGACAGACGGATCCGAACGATCCCTAGAGGTTTTAAGTCTGATCGCATTCATAGCCATTGTCAGATTGCGCTGCTGCTGCTTCAGCGTAGCTCGATAAAACAACAATTTCTCTTTTTTGGTGAGAATCCATTCAAGTCGGATGCCGAACTGCAAGAGCTTGTTCTTGCTGTCTTTGAATCGGGACAGTAATGGGCCGAGGGATTGCATGAGCGCGTGGAGTCTTTTCACAATGTCCTCGCAGATGTCGACGATATCCTTCAGCAGCTCAAGGCCGTTGATTGAAACATCTTGCAATTCGTGCAACTGATATCTGACCAACTGCAGGACCCTTGAAAATACTTCGATTTCGGACGCATATACTCGCACCTGCTCACCAGCCGAACCGACGGCGTCAGCGAGCCCGTGAAGGCTTTTAGCGATCTCAAATCCGACTGAAGCCAAACCAACAACGCTGGCAGCAATACTAAGGGGGTCCGCCATCTTGACTTTTGTTATGAGCAGATCAAGATATGAGAGTACTGTGTATCTGAGTGGTTGAACAAGAAGCGAGTGCGATATGTCCAACATAAGGTTGCTACTTGCGTTTGTACATAATACGCGACATTTATCTCCACAGTCACAGCAGGCTGAGTGGCATTTCTGCAATGGCTGCCTAGCAAAAAAAGCAATTGCAGCTGGTGCGTGCGCTGCCACACCCGCGCTTCCAGTTCGACGACAATTGGCTTGATATGCAGGTACAATCTTTTAAGTTTCGACGACTCCGGTCCTGCTTCTTGATTGGCGTTGCCAGTCACATCATTAATACGTAATCTGCGGTGTTGATCTATTCATGGTCGAATTTGGCACGCAATTGACCAATAGCGAAGCAATATAGCGCGTAATGCGCAAGATGGCAGACGTAGGACTTCATGGTTTTGTTGTAGCAAAGTTATCGTCTTCGATCACGCTAAACCAAAAGACAGTGATACATTGCCAAATAAATCCACGAATTGAAATCTTCCACAGGAGCTGGTAAGGCGAAGATTGACATGCTTCCCGCAATAAAAGGAACACTTGCAGTCGGCATACAACGGATAGTTCTGGATTTTAAACAACCTAAAAGTATTCGGGTTATATGAGAATTGTTCGCGAGCTGTGAGTTGTGACGTCAGCGCAGATAACAGGCTCTGTGTTGCCCTCAGGGTGCCCCTGAGCTGCTGATCACCAACCTGCCGAGGCTGCTGTGCGGCCTAAAGAACGCGGAGTGATGTTAATAGGGAATTTTTCAGGCGCGATCAGAAAACTATCTGAGTAGGCGGTGCTGATGTCGTCGTCCACGTGCTCGGCTCCGGAGCCGAACCAAAGGCCCAGGCGATCTTCGCCATATTAAGCATCTGGGTAAAATGGCTAGCATCAGTAAATGGTATTGCTCAGCACGCGGTTTCATGACGGATGCTGAGCTTACCAGAGAGTTTTTAGCCAGCCGCTGGCCTGGACATACGCGCCGCACGGCCCCGAAAGCATACGAAGTCCGCCGATGGTCGTCCATCTTTCCATCAACAGGGAAGCGGGCGCCGTACTCATTGTCCATGAACCGGTCCGGAATAAAGAGCTCTGGCTGGTCGTACTCGGCCTCATCATTGTGAATCGCCCATGTGTTGGCGAGGACGACGGTGCCCTTGGGTGATATGTAGCCTTGGTACACGTCGTCTTGGGTGAGCATGTGGGGGACGCCGCCGGGGGCTACAGGGCGCCAGCGGAGGGTCTGGGAAAGAATAAGAGATCAGCCTATTGCGCGGTCATTATGAAGAAAGGTTGAAGAGGACTCACTTCGTCCATGCACTTGCGCAGCTACTGCTCGACAACGGGGCCAACGTCAATGCCCAGTGCGGACGATGCGGGAACGCTCTACAGGCTGCTTCACGAGGGGGACACCGGGAGATCGTACAGCTGCTGCTCGACGTCAAAGAGGATCATGGCGATATTAACCTTCATCTGTCAATACCTCCTTTCCTTGCTGTTGACGGCGATCAAAAAAAGTCAAGCGTGGGAATACAGAGGCAATCCAACAACCGAAGACGCATTGAGTCTCGTCAGGAGTCAATCACGAAAAGGCCGTGTATATGAAAACTACCCGTATCGGTCCGCCAATGGGTGTAGAATAGTCTGTATAATTTTGATATGGAAGCGAGATCAGGAAATGATATAAGTGCAATGATGGCGTTTCCCTGGCATATGATGCTGCAAGATCAAGGACTGAATGCAAATATTGCACCCACTCTAGCGATCAGACCTGGAAGACTTCTTCTGTATTCCGCGCTTGGTGTTCATGTGTGTTCGAGACGCCAAATTAATTGTTAGCTAAGGGCTCTGGTCTGTGCTGTAGCACTATTTCGACGTACATCAAGGACCATTTATTATTGGTGCGAGACGGCCACGTTCGCGAATTTAATTGGGCTATAGCTACCGCAGCGGGGGGGACTCACAAGTCTTGTAGAGTATATTATGGCTTGCTAAGAGTTTAAGCCTTATATCCACTATAAGCCTTCTGTATTTAACAAAACTTGTCAAACCAACATTACTTGTGAGGGCAATAAGACTTGTGGATTCTCCACTATAATGGCCACTGTAAGCCCACTATAACGTCCACTGTAACCGTCCACTAAATCAAGCTGGCAAAAAAGTCAAAAACAGACAATTTTTTTTTCTTCCTTTTTGATAACCACTTGGATTGAACGTACGACTTACAGAATTATCGCGGAGCTACGGGCTTACGACTAGACTATTACGGATTTACGGATTTACGAGAAACGAAAGCAGAGCAGCTTGATTTGGTATTTATTTTATAGTGGTGGCTTATAGCGGGCTTTCATGGGGCTCACAAGCATTGTTGCCCTCACAAGTAATGTTGATTTCACAAGTTTTCTCTGCTACAGAAGGCTTGTCAGTCCCCACAGTTTCCCACTATGGTATGCTTTGCTGACGTAACCGAACGTCTTAAGGACTGTCACCAAACGCTCGAATGTCCGTATTTCCCCTCCAAATGTGCAACATAATAGACGGAAAATCTCACCACTAGCGCGGTGCAAGAGCTACAAGTTACCGTGTCATGGGCTATAATGAGAACGGTCCACTTTCTCCAGTAGATATGTCGCTGGATCAGTATTCAGATCGGTGACGGCTGGGGAATCACCAGTGTTGTATGTGTCTGATTTTTTTGCCTTGTTACTGCTGTTGGTTTTGTTGTTAGTAGTGATGGTCGTCGTTTTGGCATGCGTGGCCCTGGGAGGGCGACGATCAAGGTGCGTACAAAGCATTGATGGTAGTGTTGTCACGTGATCTCTCTCTCTTTTGTGGTGGTTGTGGTTTGGGGG